AGGAGATCAACTTCATGAACTTCAATTTAGGCACTCTTTTCCCTTACAAGAAAGATCTAACAACCATTCTTGAGCCTCCGGTTGACGAAGGCAAACGTCCAAACTCTAAGTTAATTGCCAGAAAGTTTGTTTTTGAGGAAGATGCAATATCGAGGCTCAGAGAAAAATTTGACTCAACAACTGGCGAAGGTTTGAGTTTCAAACCTTCGAGAGTTGAGATGATTACAACACTTTTATGGAGGTCACTTATCCGTTCCACAGGAAGTACTTCACATTTGAAACGGTCTGTAATGTCATTTCCACTTAACTTGCGTGGTAAAGTAGCAACTTTTCCTGAAATTGCCAACTCTTTTGGGAATCTTATCATCGATATTCCAATAAAATTTGAACACGACGATGAAACAAAAATGGAGTCGTTGCATCACATTGTAAAACTCATAAAAGAGTCAGTTCAAGTGATTATCAGTAAATGTGTCAAAGCTACTCCGGATGAAATAGTTTCTTTGGTTATCGACTTATACAAGGATAGTTACGCCGGATTAGAATGGGGAGGAGACAATGAAGTTGTGAATTTTACATGCGCAAGTTTATGTAGGTTCCCCATACAAAAAACTGATTTTGGTTGGGGAAACCCAAGTTTAATGCACTTTGGGTCAAGACATAGCCAAGTTTTTTGGTTGTATGATACTGAATGTGAGACTGGAATTGTTGTGCAAATGGAATTGGAGGAAAAATACATGGATAAACTTGCATGTGACCAAGATATCATGGATTTTGTTAAATTTTAGGGTTTAATTTTCATGTTCTTTCTTCATTTAATTTGTACTCCCTTTGTTTTAATTTAAGTACGTGTGTTGCTATTGCTTTTCTTTGGTTTAATTTGTTTTGAATATAAATATCACTTTCTATGAACACGCTTTGACTATAATTAAGTAGCATTTCACTACAACAAATGTGATATTTAGTTACGAAATTATTAGGTAAGATACTAAATTCGTCACTAATTATTCACCTTTTGTGACAACAATTATATTTCGTGTTTAAATGTATGAGCAAAATACTTTTAGTGACGAAACATACAATTTCGTAGCAAAGTTTTGTCCATTTAAGTTTCCCACCAAAAAAAAGATTGGCGCCATTTATTAAGAACTATTAGTGACGCATTTTAAGTTATCAACGACAACTTATTTTGTCACTAATAATGCATCCAATTTGTGACAAATTATTATTTGTCTTAGATGAGTTATAATTTTGGACACGAAGATTTTTTTTTTACTAAAGATAAGTTATTGCAATAGCGACAAATTAGAATTTGTAGTCAAATGTTGTAAGCTTTAGCCACAAAATTTATATTTAATTGCTATCTAAATTTTTGTCACTAATAATATAATCAATTAGTGACAAACATTTTCTTTTCTCTAATCAACTTATGATTTAGTGACAACATACTTTTGTCACATAATATGCAATATTTAAAAAGCAAAAATTTAAAATTTGCAGCTGAATAATTTTATTATTTTCTATTTTTTTTTAGCTAAATATAAAATAATATTTGATTAGGCTTATTATTTACAATTGCAAATAGCAACTGACGAATATTTCTTTAAAGCGTTCTGTATAGGTAACAACAAAAGAAAACTATAGAATGATATAATGATATGATGATAACGTCAAATTATACCTTAAGAAAATTCAAGTGCCGATGCTAACATAAAATCTAATGTGAGTGGGGATTGTGATATGACAGAGAGCAATTATACAAAAGATAACATCGATGGTAAGTTTATTTTGCAAATTTTTTAAATATTTTATGGATATTTAATTAACTATTTTCTATAATGACTAAAAATAAGTTTAATTGTGGAGGTCTCAAGAACCCCAACTATTTGATTTTAATAAAATTAGGGATAAGGGTCTGAAAAATACCCCAACTTTGGTCGAATTTGCTGTTGCGATACTAAACTTTCATGTGGACCTATTACCTCCCTTATGATGTTTGAATTTAGATGCATATCTAAATATTATGATGGGAATTTAGATTAAGATGTATAAATCTAAATATGCATCTCAAAATTGAGATGTTTTAAAATTTGAATACTAAATAATTATGATTATTATAAATATATTAGTATGTAAAATTTATCTTTATTTATAATACTAATAAAAAAATTATTAAAATGTGAACTTAATCTAATAATATATCAATAATAGTTTTTTTAAAAAAAATAAATTAATGGCAGTTAGTAGTGACGATGCCTAGTTGTGGTGGTTGTGGCCTTGTGGGTGTGGATACCCTGTTTTACCAAAGATATTTTTAATTAATTAATTAATTCATTTTTCTTTTAACTTAATCAAGTTTCGTGAATTTCAAACAAAGTGAAATAACTATTTAAATGTGTCAAAACTATTTTTATAATTATTGTTGGTGCTATTTTGTTATTTCATTTACCAAAATATCCTAATATACTATTATATATTTTACATATAATTTTAAGTATTAATTATTTCATTTTATTAATTTAAAAACTACTTTATTTATTAAAAAACCAAAAGTGAGTATGTTTTTTATTTTGTCAAATTAAAGCCAACTGTGGTTTAATTATATGATCAGGACTCCACTATTACTAATAATTACTTTATTTTGCTAAATCAAAGGATTTCATTATTAAATTAATTAATGATTATCTCAATTTTACTACATATTGCCTTTTTCATAAATATCTTCAATTATAAATAATTGATTAAATTTGATTATTTAATCAATAATTGGTCACAATTGCAACGTGAATCGGTTATGTTTGAAAGAATTATGGCTATAACTTAAAAGATGATTGATTAATTTTTAAATTTAATTTGGGTCATTTTCACTCTTAAAGAACAACTTTCAATCTTAGCTCTTTCCCACGTCAACTTTAGTAATGACCCTAAGATGGACTGGTTTTGATAATTTGTCCCTTCTAAATTTTTTAGTCTAAAATGACCTCCGTAATGGGTGATCTTGATTTTTCAACCCCGTTAAATATTATTTTTTTCTTTTATAAAAAATCCTTTACTTTAGAAAATTCTAACTTTTGCCCATAAGACAATTTTCAAGATATTTTAAGACAATAAACCTTCTCAATTGACATGAAGTTCTGCCTATCAACAAAAATTAGAACTTAGGTATGATCAGACACGATTTCTAACTTTTTTCCCCTTAAGACATTCAATCAAGACATCTTAAAATATAATTTGTTCAATTCAAACTTCGATTAAGGTAAATTTAATCTTTTATTTTAAAAAAAATACTATTATACAACATATAAAATTAATTCAATATGATTCGATAATTTTAAATTTTATTTTGATATTTTGCAGTATCCATGAAACATTGGCAACCATAGTTGATTCAACTTCGATTTATTTATAGTCATATAATATAGAATTATGATTTATATTTTTTTTAAAATAAACATATAAACAAATTATATCATATTTACACCTTACAATCTTACGTAGAAATATATGTTAAGGAAATTACAAGCTACCTTTTTTGTGAATCAATAATTTTGGTATCTGTTTCAATATCAAATATTTTGTAGTCAAAATTTAAACATCTTCACATTTAATTTTGTACTAACATTAGGTTGTATGATATATACTATAACTTTTTATGTAGCTATACATTTTGGCATATTTATAAATATCTAATACTAAAAGAATTTAATATATATATATATATATATCATAATACTGCAAGCACAGTATTAAAATTTTTGACTTGATATCTAATGTATCACGTGCACCATAATGTTGTGCGTTAACTCATTTAATTGGGCTACAAATGATAGATTATATCAGTTTGCCAAACACATAATTTCATTTTATTCTAGAGGTCTAGTTTGATGCTACATATCAACTGATGTGGTATACCAAATCAAATAAATGAGAAAATAAGATCATGTCACATATCAAAATGACATAACATTACATTTGATGAGAATAAAAATATACAACCGCATTTGACTTGTTTCGACAATTAAATATCACCATGTCATTTGAACCTGACAAATCAAAAACAATTTATTCTCATCAAAATTTTTCATCTTATAATTATAAATAAATAGGAGTTCCTAATTAAGAAAAGTCATTAAAATTTCAAAAAAAACAACCGTGGGTCAAGAATTACAAATTTTCTATAAGTTGCAAGCATTCAAACATTTGTGTACACATTATAATTACTTGAAAATAAAGGACATAGATAAATTAAATATCAAAACCTTCCAGATCAAATTCACTTGTTTGTGGAAAAACTTGTTTAAGGCGGTCATCAAAGTACTTATGACAAATCAAATTCAAGTCAAAATATATCAAATCCAACATAAATTCAAGATCAAATTAAAAACGTTTGAAATTATTTTGAAAATGAAGAACTAGAAGATTTATACAAATTGTAACACTCATAATATTTTTCTATCTTGATTATTAATTTTTATACACAAATTTTATTGTTTGTAGCCATAAATTATGGGTAATATAATAAATTTAAAATGTGAAAATAAAAGGAAATCAACACATTTCCCTGCATCCACCAGGTATCTTTATATTATAATAAATACTTAATTTTCTACCAAACTTTCTTTTTATATTTATATTTCCCTTTGTTTTAATTTATTTTCCAATGATTCAAAAAAAAAAAAAAAATTCCAAACTCTTTTGTTTTTAGTTTATTTTTAAAATAAATTCTCTTTCCTTATTGTGGTAAGTCTTTAATTATAATTTTTACATGATATATTTAAAATTAGAAGATTAAAAACTATTTTGACACACTTCACTTATTTTTAGTTTAAGAATACACAATTTAAAAACTCTTATTTACTTTCTTAAATTTTATGTTAAGTCAAAATCAAATAAATTTCTTAAATTTTATGTCAAATAAAAATCAGATAAAAGTATTTAACAAAATCACATGAAGAAAGTAAAAGAGGGTATTCATTTCCAAATTTGTAGGAAAAAAACACACGTAATTCTCTCATTTCCTGTTCCTTCTCCACAAATCTCTCTTTTAGTTATTAGCCACATCCACTCCTTATCTCCCCACGTAATACTTCTCTCCCATTATCTTCATTTTTATTTTTTATTTTTATTGAATTTTGAGTTTTTTATCTGCATAATCCTTAAATATAATATGAATATGCAACTCTCTTACTTTCTGCTATACCTCATTTGAATTTTTAGTGGGTTTCTTAAGTTTATTTTAATTTGTGAACTTTGTCTCCCTTCACTCTAGTGTTCTTTTTTTTAAAAAAAAAATAGTATGATAATTTAACTACGAGTTACTTGTGTTTAGCCTATGAGTTTGTTCTGTGTTAGAGACTTTTAGGGACTTGTTAAAAAATATGATCTAATTTTTTCGACTGCTCTATATACTAAGTAAGTTTCTTCATCTCGATTGTTGATTTTTTTTTGTTTGCAGACAAAACTCAAGGTCTATATCTTTAGAAAAGAGGGAATGACAATTTTACCATGTAATTTGAGTTAGTATCTTTTCTATTTATTTCTCATTCTAATATCAATTTTACAATTAAATTTTGAAAATATGTCATGTTTATATCATAATTGCAGCGAGTACATATTAAAATTGTATTCTTTTCCTTTTCACACAGGTATGTACATGAATGGAAAAATTGAATGAAGAGTAAAGTTATCAGATAAGTTGTTTACATTAGCATATAAGAAGTAACATTTTTATTTTCTTATTGACGACACATTATGTACATTCGTTAGGATCATATAATAATCTTTAATGAGATTATTTCAATATTATTTTAGTTCTAAAATATTATAGGATCATGAGTGACACTTTTTGTTATTATGTTAAATTTTTTATTTTGTTATGTTGAGTTTATATTATAATATGATATCTGCTAAGTTTAAAAATTAAATTTAATATTTGTCATGATGTTAATTTAATAAATTTTTACGACTTAGACTTTTCCTTGTAAAATTTTTATATTGATGAATTAATTAATCTTGTAAAATATGAGAAAATTTGGCACCATGTATAAATTATAAAATTAACGAGAAACTAGTGAATTATTACCATTTACAAGTTTGAACGTCATCAAATGTTTGTTGTTTTAACTGTATGATAATGGATGAATTTTATTATTATTTAAGATATTTTAATTATTTATTTTTCAATTTATGTAATTCTAATTTAAAAAATAATATCAATACGAATAATTAAATGTCATCGAATATTTGTGCTCATCAAAAGATTATATCATCAAAAGTAACTTTTAGCAAGGACTAAATCATACTTTTCAAGACAAATATTTTTTTCACAAATAAATTATTTCGTCATAAGTCGACTACATTTAGTGACAAACTATATTGTCACTAATCATGATTATTTACAGTGACAAGTATATCTTGTCGGTAAAAACAATACTTTTAGTGACAAGATGATAGATTTAACTACGAAATTGTTAACCTTTTTATGATGATAAATTTGTCCCTAATTTATATATTTTAGGACGAAATAATTTTTTTATATAAAAACAAGTCATTAGTGACAAAATTACATTTTTTCAACTACTAAATACATATAACTTTAGAGACAATTGATGTTGTCACTGATTGAACTAAATATATAGTGATGGTGTAATTTTGTCGGTGAAAATAACTTTTTAGTGACAAAATCATACTATTAACAAAAAATTTACACTTTTTATGACATATAGATTTGTCACAAATATCGACACATTTGGGGACGATTTTTCTTTTTGTAGTTAATATAACTTTGTTAGTGACGATGCACTAAATCGTCTTTGTATACTTTTAGTGACGACTGATTGACGAAATTTTTTTCGTCACAAGATCTTTGGTGACGAACTATGATTTATAAGTGACGAAATCATTTGTCCTTGATAGTCAAATTTGTTGTAGTGTTTTAAGTTGTAGAAAAGATTATACTAAAATAAATGGGAGAAGGCACAGGTACCCCTAGACTATGATAGAAATTCCAGAGACATACCTTAACTAAACTAAAGTCCTATTACCCCCTGAACTCATTTTATATATAATATTGTACACCTTTTGGCTTATATAGACTAGAGCTGTCAATATGGGCTAGCCCACCCCATCCGGGCTGACCCATACAGGCTTTGACATTTTACGGGTCAGGCCGGGCTAGCCCATTTTTGGTGTGGGTTAGAAAACGATCGGCCCAGCCCACAAGTACATGGGCTACAGGCTTGCCGGGCTAGCCCACTTTTTTTAAAATTATATATTTTTTATAATTATTAAAATAAATTATAAATTATAATTTAAAAATATTATCATAAATATCGACAAAACAATATTACATGGTGTTAATGTTACTACTTGTTAATCAAATCCACAAATAAAATTATCTTTATAATAATTATTAAGGTTTTTTCAAATAAAAGTATAAATATCTAAATAGAAATATTAACATAATTGTTTTGTCACATTAAAACACAAAAAATGTGACAATATTCCAACCATAAAAAAGTTAAAAATAAACTCCTTAAAAAAATCATGAAACTTATGGCATATCTAACA